TGTTGTTAAATTAACCACTGTCAGAATTGTTTTGGCCATTGCTAGTGTTAAAAACTGGTTTTTACATCAACTTGATGTAAACAATGCTTTTCTACATGGTGATTTAAATGAAGATATTTTTATGCAGCCTCCTCCAGGTTATTTGCCCTCCACTGACAACAGAGTCTGCAAGCTTGTTAAGAGCCTCTATGGCCTTAAACAAGCATCTAGGCAATGGTTTTGTAAGCTTTCTGACTCCCTTAAACTTTTTGGTTACACTCAGTCTCAAGCTGACTTCTCTTTATTCACTAAAATCACTCATTCCTCTCTTACTGTACTTTTAATATATGTAGATGATATAATTCTTGCTGGAAACAGTATGGAAGAAATCACTGAAGTTAAAACCTTTTTAAATAACAAATTCACTATTAAAGATCTTGGAGAATTAAAATATATTTTAGGAATTGAAATTGCTAGATCTAAAAAAGGTATAAATCTTTGTCAAAGAAAATACACTTTAGACATTTTAACTGAATATGGTTATCTTAATTCTAAACCTTATACTACTCCTATGGATTCCAAACTAAAACTGTCGAAAAATAATGGAACTGTTTTAGAAAATCCTACAACTTATAGAACCCTTATTGGTAAATTGCTTTACTTAACTGTAACCAGGCCTGATATTGCTTATAGTATCCAAGTTCTTAGTCAGTTTCTTGCATCTCCCACTGATGTTCATATGAGTGCAGCTCATAGAGTTCTCAGATATCTGAAGAATTCTCCAGGTAAAGGTTTATTTTATCCTTGTGATTCTGATTTTTCTATTCAAGGATACACTGACTCAGATTGGGCAGCCTGTGTAGACACTAGGAGAAGTGTTTCAGGTTATGCTTTCTACCTTGGTAATTCTTTAATCTCTTGGAAATCTAAGAAACAACAGGTTATCAGTAGATCTTCTACTGAAGCAGAATATAGGGCTGCTGCTAATGCAGTCTGTGAGGCCCAATGGTTATCTTACATCTTTTCTGATTTACATATACCTATTTCTTTACCAATTATTATTTACACTGATAACAAATCTACCTATCATCTTGCTCATAATCCCATTCAACATCAAAGAACCAAGCACATAGAACTGGACTGTCATTTAGTTAGAGAAAAAATTAATTCTGGATTGATTACTTTGATTCATATTAAGAATAATTTTCAACTTGCAGATATTTATACAAAACCGCTTGGAAATCCTTTATTCAGCCAGTTTGCAGTCAAGATGACCATGTTAGACATCCATGCTCCTCTTGAGGGGGCGTATCAAGAATAAAGAACCTGGACTGGATTTGCTTAGCTTTATAGTCTTGGGCCTACATGTTATCTTTGGGCTTTATTGTATATTATCTAATAATGTATAAATACCCTGAGTAGTTTGTAAATAAGGTTAAGACAATTTTCATTCGATCAATCTATCAGCTCTCTTCTTCTCCAAGAAACTCTCTGCTTCCTGCACTTGTACTTGTGTAAGGACATTTATCTGATACGGAGTATAAGTTTTCGCAAAGTAATTACACATTATAATGGCTATGTTTTGGGATGACTTTGATCTGGAATTTGATGAGGAGTGTGCTAGCTTTTGGGATGACATTTTTGACCCAGATGATGATTTCTGTGACACCACCCCTGGGAATGTGTTCGTCGAAGATTTTGATAGCTGGGTTACCTGCAGTTTTTACGATGAAGATGTTGGCAATGATGATTTAGGGGTATTTTCTTCTGCCAATTTGGTTGATGATTTAGTACACGATGTCACGATCAGTCAACTGATGGGCATGTTAATGAAGTGTATGCCAATTATTTTGGCATCATTTAAGATGGGTTTTAATTAATTCGGGCTTCATTGTGCTTTCTATTTCAGTTGCCTTCATTTACAAATGTTAAGAATGATTCCGGTACTATGGCTCTATGTTTTCAGTCTATCTTGTTTTTTTACTTGTATTTTGCTCCAAAGCACCCGTTCTAGATTGCACTCTAAAACTGGATTTTTGGATGAATTCCTTCGTCCCAATATCAGTGTTTTATTTTTTTTGTCTGCCTTATTAAATTTGTCTATTATCATATAGAGTATTTAATAATATTTTTGTGTCTCTAACTTATTCTTATTTTATTCTCATTTTATTAATTCGTTATCGTGCATGCACGAGTCTTTTTTGTCCCAATAATAGGGGGATGGAGTAGCAATTAACTCAAAAATTGAAATATGGATAGCATAGAAATTTGGACTTCAATTTTGATTCATTCCACGGTTCCACCTATACACCAAGGGCGTTAATCATCATAGCTTAAACGTACAAGTGTAGTTATTCTTTCCTTCGAGAAGCCATGGCCCATGGGTCTGCATGTATATACATACTTGGCTAAATTGTACTCCCTTCGTCCCAATTTGTTTTACAAAGTCAACATTTTTTGGTCAAACAAGAATAAAAGTCAATCCTCTCTATCAATAATTAGTTGAATTTTTAATAATTAAAATTTACATATTCAGAAACTACATTAAAATCTCTTCAAAGTTGTAAACTCCAAATTAGAATATAATTAAAAATTGATATCTTAATTAAGCAAATAAAATGAAACAATTTGACCGAGAAAAGACAAATTTGCAAATCAATTTGGGACGGGGTAGTAATTTTAATGAAGAGTAAAAAAATCAAATCATTTCCTTTTCCATTTGACAATTATTATTGTCAATTTCATGTCTAAAATTTGTCATGACAAACAATAAACTTTTGTCAAAATGTTTCCTTTTCCACTAATAAACATGACAAACAATAAAATTGTCACATAACAACACTAAACTTTATTTCAGTTACAACTGAAAGGATGAATGAAAAGAAATACGAAATATTACTACATATTGAATTCATTAGTTGAGAATGATTTATTGACCGCTGAGGAGATTCTAAAGTTTGAATCCTCGAAACCGCTAAGGAGACAAAATGTTGGCCGACAAGAGGACTCGTGCAAGAAGACTGCCAATTTGATGTCCTCTAAACTACTATGAGGAATTCAGATATAGTTCATTGAAATTTGGAAACAAATAAATAATTGAGATGAGATTTGAGAGCAACATGCTCTAAAATAATTATATATATTTGTTATGTTATAATTAAAATGAATACAAGGTTTGAAGACTAAAGAGATGTGAAGACTGAAAAGGCATGCCTTTTATTAATCCAACAACAATTATATTGCTTTTAAAAACTACAACCGACCTACTTAAAGTTAATGTATATATTCTTTTTAAAACTTGGCTTCATTTAAGATTTGTTATTGATGTTTTAAATTTTCAAATTGTCAACAAAATTAAACATTAGGCCTAATTAATTGAACGTAACAATAAGAAAAAGCCTGCTCACACTATATATAAAATAAAATTTTTGTCATGTTTTTTCTTCTATTTTTTTCCGAGCCTAGGGCGTTCTCCGTTGTTGCCCCCCCCCCCCCCCCCCCCCCAAACCGTCCCTGGTTGTCACATACATGAGCAAATGATTAAATGTATCTGTATAAAACTCAAATAATATAAAATGAAACGCTTCTTTATCCTGTGTCGATATATTAAATGTATCTGTATAAAACTCAAATAATATAAAAAGTCAATTAAGTCCTTCTATAGGAGACTATGTCCGGTCGTCGCGATTTGAGAAGGTTCCTGGTGGAATCTTTTGATGAAATTTTTTGAGCATCTTATTCATCAAGTCTAGTTTACTCGTACCAAATTTCAGCTAAAAATTTAATCGGGAGCGCATTCAAATTAATTCGAGAACGCAAACATGCGCAGTTATCTTCAAGAATTAATTTGAATGTGTTCCTGATTGAATTTTTAGCTGAAATTTGGTGTGAGTAAACTAGACTTGGTGAATAAGATGCAAAAAATATTTCATCAAAAAATTCCACCGGGAACTGCCCCAAATCGCGACGGCTGGACACAACCTCCTATAGAAGGACTTAATTGACCTTTTTATGAAAGTTTGAGGACCTATTTGACAGTTTTCCCTCCGTTCTTTAATATCAGTCCCCTTAGGCTTTGGCACGGGTTTTAAGAGTAAAGTAGTAGGGGTAGTGTAAAAGGTGTAATGAGTAGTGGGTAAATGAAAAAGTAGGAAAGAGAAAGGGGTAATGGTAATAAAAGTGGGGGTATAAAGGTATATTTAAAGTAAAAACTTTCCTTAAATGGAAAGGAGGACAGATAAAAAAAAACGTCCCAAAAAGGAAAGAATGACTAATAATAAAGAACGGAGGGAGTACTGCGTAATATCTTTTTGGTACACACTATTAATAGTAGTCAACAAAGAGGGTTAAAATTCAAGTATGTTTGATAAAGTTTAAACCAAGTTTATACATGGTACAACACCACTACTAAGACGAATGTTTCACCTTTTTAAAACATAATAATACAGTTGTATCACATTTATATGTAGACTGTAGAGTACTTAGAAGTTAGAACAGTAAGGTTATAGAAATTCCTGCTGTTCTTAAACCATTCTGATCTATAATACTGAGAAAAAGAATATACTCTGTAATTCTTTTTTGTATACACCATTAATAGTAGTCTACAAAAGAGGGTTAGAATATAAACATGTTTGTCAAATTTAGGCTAAAAGGTGAAATAGGCCCTCGAACTAACTTAAAAAGTGGAAATCATCCCTTATATTGGAGACTCTTTCTGGCCGTTGCCATTTGGGGCGGTTCCTAGTGGAATTTTTTGATGAAATATTTTGAGCATCTTCTTCATTAAGTTTGGTTTACCCATACCAAATTTAAGCTAAAAATTCAACTGGGAAGATAGTTAAATGAATTTTTAAAGATAACTACATAGTTAAACACAGTACATTTCAAAAAATCATTTGACTATCTTTCCGATTGAATTCTTATCTTAAATGGTGACGGTCGGGCACCTTTTAAGTTAGTTTGAGGGTCTGTTTGACTCTTTAGCCTAAAATTTAACCAAGTCTACACATGAATACCACTACTGAAACGAATGATTTACCTTTTTTAGATATAATATAGTACCGTACATAATATTTGTTCAGAACTAAGCAACACAAACACAATGAAATTCTAAGTACTTAGTTCTTTAGACAATAGAACGGCCGGTGTGAACGCATAAATTGCAGCAGCATACAAAACTACACTAAAAATACAGATTCTAAGAGCAGGACTCATCAAAAGATGCCGACTTGTCTTGCTGCTCTGATTGTAGCTGGAGGATTCAAGTGTACTAGAAGAACAGAGAGATGGGTTCTTCTCCTTCTCCTTCTTCATAAAGGAGGAATATGATTCAATTTCTCCCTGGGTGAGCGCTGGCTTTAGTGACTGCCTGACGGTTTGGAAGTGTCGATCACACACAACAGTGGCTGAAATATCTTCTCTTAAAGCAACAATTCCGGCTTCTCTGCACAGCCCTTCCAACTCTGCCCCTGTGTAGAGATCCATATTCTCAGCTACTTGCCTAATGTCAACATCGGCATCTAACTTCATGCTACGTGTATGCACACGAAGGATCTCACATCGAGCTTCCAAATCTGGTGGCGGCACATAGAGAACCTGAGGATATATGCAGTTATTACTGTGTAAGATAAAAGCAAGAGAGTTATGTCTAGAAGTATTCAAGAAAAATCAGCTAAAACTCTTGCGCGAAAGTTCACTAAAGCTCTTCTATTAGATTGTTTGACATCATCTAATCTGGGATATGCTATTTGGATTTCTAGCTCATCTGGTAAGGGTGGATTTGGTTGAAGTAACTAAGTTGCGGCTGATATATTGATGAAGTTACTGAAATATGGGGAAGCAATACTTTGAACATATTTTATTGGCAATATGAAAGAATAATGGACTCCGTAAAAAAAGCACCCAACTTGAACTTCACCAAACGTCCAAACCCAGCCGAAAATTACATGAAACCCTAGCTCACCAAAATGTGCGGAATCAAATAAATTAATGTTTAGAAAAAATTGCCTACAAGGATGATACGCTGAAAAGAGTGGCCGCAGCCTAAAACAGCACTTTGTACATTTAGTCTTTCCATTGTTATCAATGAGATAAACTTGTGGATTAGAATCAAGGTTTATGAGCAGCATTCACAGCAGTACTGAATGCTGAGAATGCCCGTATATAACCTAATATTTATGGGTGCGAATGCAACTTTAACCAAGGATACATTGTATCTAAACTAATGTGCAACTTTCCTTAATATTGAGTACTTGGTATTATTTTCCCACAGAATATATGTGCTCAAGAGTGCAAGTAAACTATGAAATAACTGATACCAGATCAAAGCGCAAGTAAACTATGAAATAACTGATACCAGATCGAAGCGCCCAGGTCGCATAAGTGCAGCATCAATTGCCTGAGGGCGATTGGTTGCAGCTAAAACAAGAATCCCCTGATGGATTGAAAGGAAGGTGTGTTTAGGTTGCATTACTTTGGCAAATAAAGAACAATAAAGGGATTTCTGATCACCTTCATTTGCTCCAGGCCATCCATTTCAGTCAAAAGAGTAGACAGAAGTCTCTCCCCAACAAGGCTGCTTCCGCTAGAACTTCCACCACTACAAGAGTAGATAGAAAAATAAACAAATATAGGATAAAATTCATATATTTGTCCGGGCCGGTCAATGACCCGGTCCGGGCCGGTCAATGACCCGGCAGTCTCGGTTTTTTTAAAATTCATTTTTTAAGTGAAGAGTTTGAATAGAGCATTGAGTTTCAACCAATAGGGAAATTAGAAAAGAATTTGTCACACTAACCGTTGAGATCGACCGAGACTGATCGGTTTTGGTCCCGACTATCCTATATGGGACCTGGTACCCTACTTGGGTTGTACTAGGTTTGATTTCGGAATGAGACCACACTTTCGGTCTTCTGGACGATCACAGAACCGGGTGAACAGAATTTGACGAACATGTTTTCAGATTTGAAAATGGAAAACTAAAAAATGAAAACAGAAAATTGGAGATAGAAAAACTGGAACATGAAAACAGAAAATTGGAGAACCGAAAACAGAAGTAGAAAACTGGAAAATATCTCTGTTAGTAAACAGGCCCTAAAATTTGCATATGCATGCTAAATAACTAACTAAATAAATAAATAAACAAGTCATGTTCGAACAATGCATTACTTTTATTTACAGGGTGGGTACCGCGGACCTTTTGGCAGTGACCTCCAAGAGGATTCAAACATGTAACCCCAGAGAACATTTTGTTCCTGGATTCAAACTAGTTGAAACATGAACAACCCCTGAAGGTTAATGCAGAACTTTTTAATTTTACTTAGGTACTCATAAATCGTGAATAATATTTATAGTTGTCTATTTATTTTTTATTTAAACTAAATTTAACATATTACCATATGTAACTTTATGTGACATTATTTTTTAAAAATTACATGAACGATTTTCTTTGTTTGGTCTAAGTTACTCTTTTTGGGAGACAAAAAGAGTTCGAAAGAAACTTTTTTGGGATGAAGAAATATTTATCCTGGTGTACACATTTGCAGTGTTTTATCACAGTGTTTTAATAATCGGCCTAGTTAGACATGCAGACGCCTCTTGAGCAATTCATTTCTAAGCAGATTAGGAAGCCAGAGTGCTCTTACATAGGTTAGCTGCTCGTTTAGGCACACTAGGCAAGCTAAGCATCACTCAAATGCCTGGCTACTGCCTAAGCAAATCTCAGAACATTGGTTTCTCCTAGTCATCACTGGAAGTAAGCAACTAATTCCTAGAAATTGAAGCTCAATTAAGTCACATTTACATAAGGGGAACTTTTTATCCTGCGCAAATTACCGTTTGGCAGCAATGACATCAGCTTCATCAAAGAAAATAATGCTTGGTGCTGCAAGTCGAGCTCTTCGAAATGTATTGCGCAACAAAGCTTCACCTTCACCGACATACATCGAATACAATTCTGCACCACTGGTGCATTATCATTAAAATAATATGAAAAAAGTTGCAATTCTCATAAAGAACATAAAAAGTAAGGTTTCTTATCACATACCTCAACGAAAAAAAGGAAGCCTGTGCAGCATGAGCAGCAGCTTTTGCAAGGGTGGTTTTAGAGCACCCTGGAGGTCCATGAAGAAGGATGCCATGAAGAGGTGATACTCCCAACCGCGCAAATGCTTCAGAATGCCTTAACGGCCACTCTACAGCTTGCTGTAGCTTTTTCTGTTCCATTTATCAAATAAAAAAGTTATATATAAAGATATTTAGCGCGAGAGAGTGTTTGGTGAGGGTTGTTAGACCATATATGCTGAACTTTCTAAAAGGAAAGGCGCATAGAAATCGATTTCAGCCAAATACGTATGTCAAAGGCTACTTATTCTGACTATTCCGCTGAAAGGAGAATATACAGAATAAGCCTATCAACTTTAACAAACAGGGTCCGAGTAAGCTAACAGGTACAAACCTTTATGCCTTGTAGTCCTCCAATATCCTCCCAAGAAACCTTTGGAATTTCCACAACTACACCTCTTGTTATACTAGGACCAACAATAGATTTGGCATGCCTCCAGTCATCCACTGTTATGTTCCAAGAGCAATCTACTTGATCTAATTCTGAAGATCGTCTGACAGCAGACATAGTAGCTTCGCGGCATAAAGCTTCTAAATCTGCCCCAACATAGCCATTACAAGAGGCAGCGATTGACTGCAGGTCAACACTGGGGTCCAATGGAAGCTTCTTAGTGTAAAGCTGCAATGTGTCAACATAAAATACACCATCACTCAACAAAATCTCCATAAAACTTTAACATAAAAAATTGTTATTGTTGTTGAGGATTTATTAGACTTGACAGCCCAGTTTCAATAAGTCCTACAAGATATATTTTGCTCTATACCCATCGATCCTTTTTGTCGAGTATTAATCACAAGCTGGACACATATTATATGTATTCTCGTGAAATTTATAGCTTCTGTCCTCTTCATTTTTTGTTTTCTTTACAAGACTTTGTGTTGTTGTATCTTTTCTTTGACCTTTGTATGTTTCTTGTATTAATATATTTTCTCGAAATTTTGACAAAATAAAAAACAGGTGCCTCCTAAATAATAAGGTGAAGTTCATAAGAATAATCCATACGTTTATGGATTCTATAATAATAATCCCTACTCAAAGTGTCCACAAAAATAATCCGAACTAGCTATGGTATTCATAAGAATAAATTGGGGTGAATTCAAATTAATGCTAGTTTAATACTTTCAACCTTTACTCCCACTTTTCTCTTCCCCGCTCTTCTTCTCGGGGATAATTCAAACTAAACATGTTTGATATCAACACCATTCCCGCCATATGTGGTTCTCCCTAGGTTGGAACATAAAAGTGTTAACCGAGACGGAGAGTGGAGAATGGGGAAATAAATGTAGGGACTGAGTATTAAATAGACATTAGTTTGAATTCATTCCAATTTATTCTTGTCGACACTATTGCTAGTACAATTATTTGTATGGACACTCTTAGTCGGGATCAAGGTTGTCAAAAGCGCTCGCCTCAGCGCTTAAGCGCACAAGGCGCAGCGAGCATACCCCCCAGCGCTTGGAAATAGGTGAAGCGCACGTACCTGGGTAAGGCGCATGAAGCGCATCAAGCGCTGCAAGTCGCACGCCTGGGTCGCCTGAGCTGGAAAAGGGCTGACAGCCTTTTTTTGTTTTAAACTTTCAAGTACAATTAGCCCATATCTTTAATAACACTAAGCCCATGAAAATATTTGGGTAAAAACAGTAAAACCGACGTAAAACCAAGAGTCTATGTAAGTAAACACGTAAAACTTGCGCAAGACACTACTGCAATCATCGCTAGCCATCCTCACTCTCCTCACTTGAAGCTGCTCTACACCAGCCAGTTCTTTAAGCTTTCATCATCATCTCAAGCAAACTCAGCTCTCCCTCTCAGCACTAAACAAGGTATGTTTTCTTTTTCATGCAGTCCTCTTCATCCAAATACTCATATTACACTAGTGTCTAAATATTAGCGTAAATGTGTAATAAAGTAATAATACTACGTATTAGTATATTAGTATGTATATAATACTCATATGTGCTCTGCTTTGTGGTTTTGTAAAGATATTACTCTATAATCTTTCAGAGTATATTAAGTTCTTAACTTTAAATGCATTACTCAGTTCTGTCACTCTTGTGTTTTATAAATATTAAAGATATTACTCTGTTTGACCCAACTAGAGTAAAACATGGCTGTTAACATAGGGCTGAGTATAACATGTTTTTCAAAGTTGATAACCACCTTTTACAACACACAAGATGACAAACACAGATGAAAAACTAAAAGAACATGATAAACACACAACCAGCTTTCTGTTTTTCCATTATTGAGCACCCATATTCGAGTGTTTGGCCCATAAATATATTATATATGTACTCTACTTTGTGGTTTTCCAAAGATGTTTTCCAGTGTATTAATTATTAAATAATTCCAGCTTTGTACTTTTCCAGGATATGGAAGGTGGAACAAGTGCTACAGGTGGTGCTGAAAGTGAAAACTCTACAAAAAAGACCCAGCTTGGAAACGCAATTACTTGGCTAACAAAAAAGATCCTAATTTTTGTGAATCATGACTTTATTTTGAGCAAAGTGGAAGGCGGGTATTCGTGTGGATGAGTGATATCGTATTATCTTTTCCCCTCTTTTTTTTCTTTTTTTTTCTTTTTTTTTCTTTTTTTTTGTCTTTTTTCTTTTTTTCTTGTTTGTTTTTTATCCTTTTTTGCTTATATATATAAACATTATTTTTATGCTTTTTATTTTATCATTTTTGGGTATATTCATCTCTTTTTATATTATCTTTTCCATAATAGCTTATCTTTTTTATCTTTATTTTCTTACTCTTCCTTTTGGTGGTGATATCATGTATCGATTCATGTTAGCCAACCCCAATATCTTTTGGGACTAAGGCTTGGATGTTGTTGTTGTTGTTGTTGTTGCATGACTTTATTTTGATGAATCCTAGCTTTTTTATGCATTTGGTTCAATATGATGTTACATACATCATATTTGGTAATTATAGAACAGTATATGTGATTTTATCTAAGTAGTGCGATTCACCCGAGTCAAGCGAGCGCTTTTTTGCGCCTTGCGCCTTGCGCCTCAGGCGCTGGGAATACCCTATCGCCTTGAGTGCGCCTCACGACTTTGACTACCTTGGTCCGGATTATTATTGTAGAATCCATAAAAGTAGGGATTATTCTTGTGAATTTCGTCAAATAATAATAAATACTCCATGATGAGCACCATACATTGAGGATATGAAAGCGTTCATCTTCATTAGGGGTTGTGACTTCAATCTCAGCATCAAAACGCCCAGATCTTCTTAGAGCCGGGTCGAGTGTGTCAACCCTGAACATTAATCACAGAAAACATTCATCTTAAAAGACTTGCAACCAACAATCTATATGGTATTAAAAATAAACATTTAAAAGACAGTATACCAATTCTAAGTAGCACCAGGACGGAAACGGAAACGGAAACGGGGACGGAAACGGGGACGAGGAAACTCTAAACTCAAAATATCAAGATACGGGTACGGCAAGGAAACGTCAAACTAAAAATTAAAATTTTACTAGTATAAGTAATGTTTACGTCCAACAACTATGAAATAAGTAAACAAAACATTCTCTTTATTATAATGCATCATACATGCATAATAAATAAAATGAAAAAGTAAATGTTTTATTCAGTGATAAACACTCTGATAAATTAACAAGTGCAAATTTGTGTAACACACTCAAATTACCAGTAACATCAGTATGTTCCATATTTAATGACAATAGGAAGCACTTACCACAAATTAAAGAATCTAAAATTCTGAAACTTCCCCAAATAGGCTAATACGGCACTACCCAGACCCACTTTAACCCACGCGTCCAGCGAAGTAGAGCAGCAGACAGCAGCAGGCCAGCAGATGGCTTTCACCGGTCACCAACTTCAGCAGTTCAGCATTAGGTTTCCCGTCGTCACCAGCGTTGCTTCAGTATTCAAGCCCTTAATTGCCGTCGAGTGATGCTAGAGTCGCAGACTACAAGCGAGCGTCGCAGGTTAGTTTTAATTTAAAAAAAACGCGAATTGCCCAGCTCCAAATTGACCGACCTTGTTTTTGAGAAAAATAACCAGAAACGCCGTGGCCCAATTGAATTCCCGTTTCCGATACGTTTCCCCAAGCCGGCCCAAAAGCCCAAGTCATCAGAAACGTTTCTCCGCGTTTCCCTGCCGTTTCCCGGCGTTTCCTGGCGTTTCTCGTTTCCAAAACGTTTCTGGGACGGAAACTTGAGGGAGTTTGACGTTTCCGTGCATCCTAGTACCAATTACAGATGGCGTAATTTGATTCAGATATCATAGTATGGTTGAAAAACTTAACAGTTTTTTTATTCAAAAAGAGATTGTTTATCCTTCACCACAGTGACAAAAAAAACTTACTGATTTATTAAAATAAAAAACGGATGTATGGTTGTAAATTAAAAATGGTGTATATTATTAGCTCAGACACTACAGTATGGTTGTAAAAATCAACAGTTTGTTCGATTCAAAAAGCGACTATTTATCCCTCACCATAGAGAGAAAAACTTAAGTAATCCCACCCTCCCTCCCTGCCATGAATAAAACATATTAAAGTTGTATTTCTTTGGGTATGGGTTCATGGCATATCAACATCTTTGTAGTTAAAATAATATAAACATATAAAGGTTGGATTTCTATGAGTACGGGTTTATTCCATATCAATAATTTATAGTGATTGTAAAATAACAAAATAGGTGATACCCTTGAAAGCAACACCACCAAATTACTATTGACCTTCAATAATAAAAGATAGAATAATAATGCTTTCTTTTGCAATCCACATGTCAAAAAAATATCCTAAATTGGAATAGTATCGGGTGGTTTGATTTGCCAAATTGCCATTACAGGTTACTTGAGAGAATGATGGAAAAAAAGGGTTTCTCCGTCAAGAGTAAATCGCATTTACTAATATATGGAACTTAAAAGTAAATAAAAATAACCAAAATGACCTCTTTGTACTTTATTTGAATACAACACAAGAAAAAATGGAAACCAAAAAGTTACTTCCCTGAAACATCAGTAGAACCCACCTATTAGTTGATGCCACTACAACAACATGTAATCCAGATGTTGAAACGGACTTATTAGAGTCCATCAACATAAAGAGCTGAGAAGCTACACGTACATCTTGTTCTCTTCTGCAATAGCAAACTCACCAAGTATGTTGAATGAAATATGAATATGAAAGTATTATGTGCAAGTGCAATAATCTATGAAGCACAGAAACTTCCAATGGCTCATGCTTCCCCGCTCCGCAAACTGGAAAGCGTATCAAAAACTCCAGAACTTCAAATTCCAGTTTGAGGGGTGTTTCAATAATTAAGAAAAATTGGAAAGCTTGTTTCCCAAAATAATAACGTTTAGGAAATTTTGGATTTCCAAGTATTTTTCTTTTTGATGGGGTCCATTGACGGAAAATAGTGCCTTTCCAAAACTCTGGTGAATTTTTATAAGATTTCTTCCTAGCAAAAGAATAAAGTAAGAATGATTTAGAGTCACACAAACTTCACCAAATTTGGTATGGGACAATTTAAGTGGGATTTCCCGAAAAGGTAAAATGGGACAATATTAGCGGGACAGAGGGGGTAATAGTTTATAAACTTGAATACATAGTCTTTAGTTACTAATGGTTATCAAACAAAATTATCTGAAATAATGTGCATATATATAAACGAAAAAACATGTATACATATATAAAAATATTTATACATATGTCCTCATGTTTTTTAAAATTAGTGTGTTTTTCCCATATTTTGTGTCATGTATTTTTTTAGAAACCATATTTCCGATTTCCATACTACTCAGGCAATGACAATGTTTGAAATTGCGTTTTGCAAGCTTGAGGCGGTTTCTTAGCATTACCTATTGTGTAACCTCATTGTGCAATTTCAAACGATGGGCAATAATACATTAAGAAAGCATTAAGTGATACAAGTTTGAGATAAAGTTAAAACTCATGGCCCTGGAAAGTGTATTAACTGGAATGATTACCTAGAATCACGACGAGGGCATAGTACATCAATTTCGTCTATGAAGATAACAGATGGCTTCCCAAGGTTTGCATGAGACGATGCTTTTGCAAATGCTTCCCGCAAAACTCTCTCGCTTTCTCCAGTATGTGCTCTATGGACACTGTGTGGGCTACAGATGCACCACAAAATTAATGACATTTGGGATTCATGCCCATATATTTATCACAGCTTCTCATATGGGAAAAGAGATAAGGCATTCACATATGACCCACAAATATTTTCTTGATATCTCCCAAAGCAACTAATGTGTGTCAAGTTTCTTCATAAGCTATGTAACGTTTTAGCATAAATATCTCCACTTTAACATCATGATAAGCAATGAAACATTTCATTAACTCCAAAATGTACATTTTATTTCTATGATTCTATCACTAAAATGTGCACATAACACTACCTTAGTCCCGAAAAAAGTCACCATTGTAATACTAGGATCATTATTTTAAACACGAATTACACGACTCTATTCTGGGGAGGAATGAGTACTTAGTCTCTCATCTGCTTAAAAATAGAAAATAAAGCTTGCTAGGGGATAGCTCTATATGTATAGATCTAAAAAAACAAACATGACACACATAAAACATTACAATATGTAGTACCTAATAACAGTCAAATGTGCTCCACATTCTTGAACAACTGCTCTAACCAAACTTGTCTGCAAATCCAGTAATACATTATTGGAACAATATTTGAGAAATAGATCCCTTTTTCTCACAATGCAAATGGTGATCAAGCTAAGAGATAGATAGCCAAGAGAATAAATGTGTATCTACCTTTCCAGTACCAGGTGGACCATAGAGCAACAAGCCACGAGGCCACTATAAGAAGACAATGAAAGATACCCACAAATAAACAAGTCTATCAATATTATTAGTGAGGGGATCTATACAAAAACATTCGTATCCAAATTACTTTGAGGCCAAGCTTTTGAGACTCTTGAGAATACAGGAGTGGATACATAATGAGTTCCCGAAGAGCACGGACCGCCTCTGCATTTCCAGCAATGGCATCCTCAGCCATCCACTCTCTGCCTCCAGTTGTACTTCCATTGCTGCTTTCCATTAGAAGTTTTATTGTATGTTTCTAAATCGTTCTTCCAAATAGGTTTTCAAGGCAGCTTTTAGGGTTACAGGATTGGCAAATGAAAACCTACAGCAGAAATTACAATGTCATGGTGGTGCAGTCGGGACAAATAAATAAAAAAAACACAAACTAAATCAAAGGAAACCACTCAGATTATTTTCAAAACACTACAATAGGTAAATTAATACTCCGAATTAACATGATAGGCTCAGGAACCGATTACTCTTCCAGAATTTGTTGACTGAGACAGGGCCTTCCTGTTTGTCAGGACAGAGCAAAACTCTTTGACTTTTTTCTCAATTTTTTTATATTTCATACTTTGTCATAGTATTGAATATGATAAAACTATGTTAAAAGATATAATAATAGTAATACCTTTCATCTGATAAGTTGCATATATAAATAAAAATAGCACCACAAATAACAATTAAAGCTAAAACATAAATGTAAAATTTAAAAACATCTTTCATACAAGATTGTGAAGCAAAATCGTCAATCATAGCTTCAAAATCAATCTCTTCAAGCGTCTCATGCTGGACGATTAATATTAGTAATCCACTAACCTTTCTTGAACATAGTTGACCGCAAATAATAATGCATTGGCATCTCATTGCTAATTGTTTAATCTAAACTGTAAATTCAAAAAATCTAGATTATTAAGATTAATATTGCTGGCTCGCGAAACTGGTGCTTTCAATTTTACATATGTAACTACAATGGAATTTGATTTAAGTGTGCAAGTAAATAATTGGTTTTCTTTAAAAAATAATACTCCCTCCGTCCAGTGGCGGATCTAGACCTCAGGTTTTGGGTGTTCGAAACTAAATTAAAATTAAAATTATCACAATGATCATGTAATTCAACAATTGCATATTTGTCGATAAGAAAGCCTTACATTGCAAACCAAAGCATAGTATATTAATAAAGTATAATAAAAGTACTACATTAACTTATTTTTCCTAATGCTCGTGTTTTTCTGAAAATAATCTAAAAGTTCTTCATTACTGCCACTTCGATTCTCAAGTCTGCCAGGGACCAAACTTAACAAAGTGCTGAACTGCCAGACAACCAGGTCATTTAGTATGTTTTGTTTGTACTTTTTAGTATATTAATTATCAAAAAAGGGGTAAGTTTGTAACTTGAAAGAAACATATCAATATTGAATCTGACATGATCAATTTATCATTTACGGAATATCATCTTTTTTCCCAAAATGTCAAAATACAAATTACACCTACCGACATACGGAGTACAATTGTTACCAACAGACAAGTAGAAATCCAATTTAGAAATTTACCGAGTGCTTAGCTCAGTTGGCTGTCTTGGCTGAGGCGTGAGTGGCGAGTCCGCATGCGCCTAGCGCCGTAGCAGAGCGGCAGCGGCAGCGGCAGAGGAGCGGTGGTTGCAGATTGTGTCGAGACAGTGCTGCGGTGAAGTACTGGAAGTCTCAAGCCGGGAGCGGGAGTGCGGGACTGACTTGCTGCGTGATTTGTGACTTTGTGAGAAGACCTAGCGGCACTGGTCGTTTGAAATTGGAACGAAGCAAAACAGGTTTGGGCTTCTCCGATCTGCTTCTGAATTCTGGCTTTCAACCTTCTGGGATACGACATAGCAGTAAAGGCAAATCGGCGGAGTTTTAATTTTTTAGTTAAACGCACAAAACGACGTCGTTTTTAATTTTTTTGGAAAATTCTGGGTGTTCACGTGAACACCTTTGAACGGTCCGCCCCTGCCTCCGTCCCCCTTAATTGTCCCATTTTTTCATTTTTGGATGTCCCCTATTATTGTCTCATACCATATTGGTAACATTTGTGTGGCTCTAATTCATTCTTACTTTATTCTCACTTTATCAACTCATTAAGTCAGTATGAACCACATAAATCTACTTTTCTTAAAAACTACCTCACTCTCTTCCGTCCCAATATTAGGGGGCGGAGGGAGTAATACAATAATGCCATCTATGTTGCACGGAAGTGTAGGAGGCGTGCTGAAATGTGAAACAGGAAACACCATCTTAAGGGGCGGAGCCATAACCAACATTCAGGGTGGACCGGAGGTAAACTAAAAAAACGCTATGTCAAAATTTAAACTAGTATATAGTTCGAATAAAATGATTAAAATTCATTACAATTTATATTGTAGTAGGTTTAAAAAACGAATGCAATGATTTTTCATTTTTTTTTAGCGGCTGAAATATTTGGAATTTCAATGAAGTTTTTATTTAACTCTTGTCCGTTTTGTGTACTTGCGGGCTTCAAAACGAAGCAATATTATTTTTGCCTTTTTTGAAGTACATTGGGTAGTCATACCTGCTTAAATTGATAAAAATTAATAAAATAATCAGTATAAAGAGTACTATTTTCAATCACATACATAGTACATAGTATGTTTTATTAATATGTTTAGAAATTGACCATCCTAATTCTTAATTTCACAAAGGGAAAATGGAAACTAATAATCCAACCTTTTAGCGGTCTTCTTACAATAGTCCCACCTTTTGATTATTCATGAATAATCCAACCTTTGCACCTCATCTTCATTCACTGGTCCCTGACCGGTTGATGACCTACTATTCCAAGTTATTTTCTTATCTTTGCAAAATATTATCTTTGTGAAAGGTGAGATTTATGGTATAATGGTTTGCAAAGATAAGAAAATAACTTGGAATAGTAGGCCATCAACCGGTCAGGGACCAGTGAATGAAGATGAGGTGCAAAGGTTGGATTATTCATGAATAATCAAAAGGTGGGATTATTGTAAGAAGACCGCTAAAAGGTTGGATTATTAGTTTCCATTTTCCCTTTCACAAATGAAATTAGAATACGGAGTATGACAAATGATTCACCAATCGTAAAACATATTGACATGGTTAAATTCACATTAGCGAAACACTTAAAAACTAAAACAATTAAGCACTCAAACAGAACATTTAAAAATCAAGATAGCAATTTTTAAGATATTAGCTATGTACGTAATTCAAAATAAAAAATAAAGAATACCGGCCACTTAACTAACCTACTAGGCCGCTGGGGTTGTTGAGCCGATGAGCTGAACTGCAGATGGCAGCCAAAACTCCGAGAAGCTGAGAAGTGAGAAGAACTACCAGGCCGCAAAGCGGATGGGGCGCGGGGCTGGGGCGGGGTACGTGACTGGGTGAGGCAGAAATCTACCTTAATCTAAAAGGAAAAGATTTTTAACGCACAGTTTTCCCGCCCATAAACGTCGACTTCAGTGCTAAATTATTGTATTCGTAAAATAATGTATTGCAACGATTTGGCTCCAGCCGCCATTACAATTATTTGGAAACCCCATTCCTATAGGCAGAAGAGTGAGGTGAGCGTAGTTTATATATAAAAAAAATATTGAAAGCTGCTATTGGGCCAAAAGGGTGGTGGGTACTGTTCAATAAAATATGTTATAGGATGCTGGCCTTCCTTGATTTGTATTGGTGGAAAAGGGTGGTCATACAGTAAATGGGTATGGTACATGCTATCTTTCGTACCTACCTGTTTCACTATAAAAGCATAGCGGCAACAGCAAACTTTTTCACATCCTTCTCACATTGACGTACGATCTAATAGCAAATAGCATACAAGAAATATATTGAAAAATGAGTTGAAGAATTGAACACCAAAAAAAACAGTTCAGACTGTTGGTTCATTACAAAATGTGTCATCAACAGATTGTGATGTGTAGTAGCTAGAGGGTATCTGCAGATTATACCGTTGCCCGTTTGGTCTTCCGCGACCGAGTTTGTGCCGGTTCCTCTGCCTGCATGGACGGTTGTGGATTCCGGCTGGAATTTGTGCTGAAAATGTGTGTCTGATGTGTGAGGGTTCCCTTCCCAGCGCTTGAATAAACGATTGTTCGGTGGCGTCGTAGTCAATGGGAGAGAGGTCTGCATTTGTCGGCTAACTGAATCGAGTGGTTATGAGAAGGATGTCGCTTTCAGCTTCGGGTTATAAACGCTCCACTTAATGGGTTGTCATTTTTGGGCTGCTTTTAAGGCCCAGTAACAATGTGGTCTGGGATGTATTATTATTGGGTTTGTGTGTTGTTTAGTTATACTAATAAAATGACATCAATTTTTGAATTGATTTGTCAGTAGTCCTGTAAACTGATTTATACAATAAAACGAAACGTGTTGTGAAATGAAGAAGATGAACACCAAACTTGAAAGATAGATATATTGATAATAACCTCTAAATCACTTCTTCTTAATATAACTGATAATTTCTGAGTTTCTAAGTAAGTACATTTACAAGGCATCACCAAACCCCTATTTATACTGATGGAGCTTGGTGATGAATCATCAAAGAATCATTCTACATAATATGCTGGCAACATTAAACCTAGCCATCTGTTTATTACAAGGATGGAAATTGGATTAGTGTCCTGATGACAAGGATGAACAATTCACACTTGTCATTCTCAGGAGTTTACAACACTCCCCCTTGAATGTTCATCCTTGAATAGTTATTTGTTATTTAAAAACTTGTTGTGAAATTAAGGGGTAAAAATTACGACTTATAATGTCATTGTATTTGGATGTACTGTCTCGTTAAAAACCTTATCAGGAAAAACCCAGTGGGATAAAAACCTGATGAAGGGAAAAAGAGTGCAGTGCATTCAAATACTCCCCCTGAATTTAGTATAAATTATGAAGACGTCGCATGCCGATTTTCTGTACAAGTTCCATGAACTTCTTCGGGGGTAAAGATTTGGTGAAGAGATCGGCTGGATTTTCACTGGATCTGATTTGTTGAATGTTGATCGTCCCTTCTTTCTCCAGATCATGAGTAGAGAAGAATTTTGGTGATATGTGTTTTGTTCTGTCACCTTTGATGTAGCCTTCTTTAATCTGAGCTATGCACGCAGTGTTGTCTTCGTAGATCACTGTCGGGTGACAAGTAATAGGCTTTATATCGCATTCATTTTGGATGTGTTGAATCATAGATCGCAGCCACACGCATTCCCTCCCGGTTTCATAAAGTGCAATTAACTCCGAATGATTTGATGATGTAGCTGTCAACGTCTGTTTCATAGATCTCCAAGAGATTGCGGTATTACCATAAGTAAATACGTACCCGGTTTGTGATTTTGCCTTTTGAGGATCTGATAAGTATCCAGCGTCTGCATATCCGATTAAAGAAGCTTTTGCATCTTTGTGGTAGAATAGGCCGAGATCAACTGTACCACGGAGATAACGGAATATGTGTTTGATCCCGTTCCAATGACGTCTTGTTGGGCATGAACTGTACCTAGCTAATAAATTTACAGAAAATGCAATATCTGGTCTAGTATTATTAGCTAAATACATTAAAGCTCCAATAGCACTCAGATATGGTACTTCGGGACCGAGTATTTCTTCGTCGTCTTCTCGGGGACGGAATGGATCATCGTGTATGTTGAGAGATCGAATGACCATTGGTGAAGTCAAAGGATGAGCTTTGTCCATATAGAATCTCTTCAACACTTTCTCGGTGTAATTGGATTGGTGGATGAAAATTCCATTCTTCAAATGCTCAATTTGAAGCCCGAGACAAAATTTGGTTCTCCCGAGATCTTTCATTTCAAATTCTTTCATAAGATATTTTGCAGTATTTTCAATTTCATCGGGAGTTCCAATAATGTTTAAGTCATCAACATATACTGCAATTATGGCGAATCCAAAATTTGATCGCCGAATGAAAACACATGGACTAATTGGGTCATTCTTATATCCTTCTTTGAGAAGATATTCACTGAGACGATTATACCACATTCGTCCAGATTGTTTTAGTCCATACAATGACTTTTGTAATTTAATGGAAAACATGTCTCGAGGTTTCGAGCTATAAGCTTCAGGCATTTTAAACCCACCGGGAACTTTCATGTAAATGTCTGTATCAAGTGAACCGTATAAATATGCGGTCACTACATCCATTAGGCGCATTTGCAGCCTTTCAAAAACAGACATGCCAATGAGAAACCTTAATGTAGTTGCATCCACTACTGGAGAATAGGTTTCTTCATAATCAATTCCCGGCATTTGAGAAAAACCTTGGGCAACAAGTCGGGCTTTATATCTAACAATTTCATTCTTTTCATTGCGTTTACGCACAAATACCCATTTAAAACCCACAGGTTTTACGCCTTTTGGCGTAGGGACTATCGGTCCAAAAACATCACGTTTTTCAAGTGATTTTAATTCAGCCTGAAAAGCTTCATTCCATTTTGGCCAATCGTGTCGTTTCCGACATTCTTCTATTGATGTTGGTTCATTGTCATTGTTTTCATTCATAACATTTGTGGCAACGGCATAGACAAATATCTCATTAATATCAATATTTTTTCGATTCCATTGCATTCCAGTAGAAACGTAATTTATTGAAATTTCATAATTATCAACGTTTCTATCAGTATCTGGAATATCTTCCTCATTTAAGGAAGTTGAATCATTATTTGAGATGTTTGTTTTGTCAATATCATTTTCTATGCCAGTATTTTCAAATTGTTCATTTTCTTGTTCAGAAGGATGAACATCTTTGGCATCACAGATCAATTCCTGCCTTTTAGTCTTTCTTGGTTTTATGTCTTTTGATCCAAGTGGCCTGCCACGCTTTTTGCGTATAGAAGAATCATTTGCGAGAGATTTTTCAGAATTCTCCGCTGGAATTTCAATTCTGGCAGGGGCATTCATAGCAGGAATATGTGACTTTGTCACTTTCTTTGTGTCTGTGAATGCATCAGGCAACTGATTTGCAACATTTTGTAAATGGATTATCTTTTGCACCTCTTGCTCACATATATTTGATCTAGAATCAAGGTGTGATAATCCTGTTGCATTCCATGTTATTTCTTTCGTACTTGGGTCCGATTTATTAGTTTCTCCCCCTAAGGTTGGGAATACTGTCTCATTGAAATGACAGTCAGCGAACCGTGCGGTGAATAAGTCACCAGTCATCGGTTCAAGATATTTGATTATTGAGGGAGATTCAAATCCAACGTAAATTCCCAACCTTCTTTGAGGACCCATTTTTGTACGATGCGGTGGAGCAATCGGAACATAAACAGCACAACCAAATATTTTTATGTGTGCTAAGTTTGGCTCTTGTCCAGTAACTAATTGCATTGGGGAATATTCATGATATGCAGTCGGTCTAAGCCGAATTAAATTTGCTGCATGCAAAATAGCATGTCCCCAAGCTGATGAAGGTAAATTACACTTCATTAATAATGGTCTAGCGATTAATTGTATTCGTTTAATCAAAGATTCAGCAAGACCATTTTGTGTATGGACATGAGCAACAGGGTGCTCCACATCAATCCCAATCGACATACAATAGTCGTTAAATGATTGGGAAGTAAATTCTCCTGCATTATCAAGTCGGATTCTTTTTATAGAATGATCCGGAAAATGAGCTCGTAATCGTATGATTTGAGCAAGGAGTTTAGCAAATGCTAAATTTCTAGTCGATAAAAGACTTACATGTGACCAACGTGTTGAAGCATCAATCAACACCATAAAATATCGAAATGGTCCACATGGAGGGGCAATCGGCCCACAAATATCTCCTTGAATCCTTTCTAAAAATGCAGGTGATTCAGTTGCAATTTTGGTCTTAGAAGGCCTGATGATCATTTTGCCAAGAGAACAGGCATTACAAGGAAAATCACTTGATAATGGAACCCTGATATTCTTTAATGGGTGTCCAAGTGAAGTCTTAATGATTTTATGCATCATTACATGGCCTGGGTGACCTAAACGGTCATGCCACAACATGAATGTTTTCTGATCATCTAACTTTGCGTTAGAAACCAAATTTATTTCAAATGGACTAATATAAGTGAAATATAGTCCTGAGGAATATGCTGGCAATTTTTCACAAATACATTTAGTGCCAGATTTAGTTGTCGTAAGACAAAGATATTCCTTTTGGTTTTCATTCATGGTTTCAATGTGATAACCATTTTGACGCATATCTTTAAAACTCAATAGATTTCTCCGCGATTTGCTGGAGTATAGAGCGTCATTTATAATTATTTTTGTCCCGTTAGGGAGCATCACATATGCTTTCCCAGAGCCTTCAATGAGCTTCGCAACACCTGATATAGTATTGACTTTAGCCTCAACTAAAGTCATTTGAGAAAAATAGATTTTATTCCTCAAAATGGTGTGCGTTGTGGCGCTGTCTATCAAACATAGCTCTTTATCACTTGTGTGATTCATATCTGCAGGAGAGGATGATTTCTTGAAGAATTTTTGAGCAGATTCGTGCTGATAACGTGTTGTGAAATGAAGAAGATGAACACCAAACTTGAAAGATAGATATATTGATAATAACCTCTAAATCACTTCTTCTTAATATAACTGATAATTTCTGAGTTTCTAAGTAAGTACATTTACAA